AGGACAACAGATTGTCTGAGGGATTGTTACATACAGTGGCATGATATTTTCACTTGCACTATTGCATAGGCTATAGAGGTAAGTATGGCAAGTATCACGTAGGGGGTTATTCACTAAGCTGCTAAGGGCAGCCGAATAAATAACGGAGCTCAAGTGAAGGCAGCCGAAGCCTCTTCGGCTATTCACTGCAGCCCTGTACAGCTATTTTTAGCCATTCATAAGCTGCATTCTGGGCGCTTCACCTCCCTTTGGTTTGGCTGAACAGCCTCAGTGCGTTCGGCCGAATCGAATATGTTCGCCTCAGCTGATGCAACAGCTTAATCCGCTGAGGCGAACGTTCGGCAGTTCCTTCTCTGCTGTTCACCCTTATTCTCATAGAGTGAGTGAATAGCAGCATTCGGCTCGTCATTCTGTTCGCTACCTGGAAGGTAGCGAACAGAATGCAAACTGTCAGTGTACACAACCAAAAAAAAACCCGGTGTGGGTCCCCTCCCAATTCATACCAGACACTTTTGGTCTGGGAGGAATGTTAGAAGGGACCCCTGATGTAAAACAAATAACATATAAATGTATGTGGTTTCCCCCAAAAGTTATACCAGACCCTTTAGATCTGGTAGGAGTGTGGTCCCCCCTAAAATTCCCAACCAGACCCTTAATCCAAGCAGTGCCCTGGCAGAGGGGGGGGGGGGGGGGTCTTCCCCACAAATTTTGCCCTGTGGTTGTTGGGGTCTGCAGGTGGGGGGCTCATCTGCATCTGGGTACCCCCTTTCTGAAATACTCAGACCAGCCCATCTGCCACCAGCAACCATGCCACATTCAAAGTCGTTTAGATCACCTTTCTTCCCCATTTTGAGGCTCAGTTTGAACTTCAGCAGATCGTCTTGACCATGTCTACATGCCTTAATACATTGAGTTGCTGCCATGTGATTGGCTGATTAGATATTTGCGTTAACAAGCAGTTGAACAGGTGTACCTAATAAAGTGGCCAGTGAGTGTATATTCAGTATACTGCATCTTGAAGCATAGCATGTATGGGCATTGGTACCTTAACCTTTAGGGATTTTTATTTCACACAAAACATTTTCTAGAAGTGGATTTAGAGTGGTGCCCAAATCCCGCCTTATAGGATGTAATGGTCAACATTAGCTAAAACTGTTGACTAGCTACCGTAGTAGACTTCGTAGTAATTAGCACTTTATTGATTTTGTCAGACCTTAACTGGAGATACAGTATTTTAGCTTAGTTTCTTTATAGCAGTTACTCATTTTATATCATTTGTTGGGATGGTCAGCCTGGTTTTGAGTTTATATATGTAGTGCGGACAAGTTTTAAAGGAATTGTTTTGTGATTGGAGCATTACATGGAGATTGGTGCCTTGTCCTGCACACTCGATGGTGCTGGTTCTAGTGGAATAACATATATCATGTATGCATTAGATCAATAATCATTAGAGTTTCTCTTAAATGGGCTAGGAGAAGCAAATTAACCAAACAAAACTATTAGTGGAGATTTTGAAATCTTCTAGTTCTCTCTCTTTAACAAGTTCCTCTTCCAGCTTGAGCAGTCTCTTTTTCTGTGCATCCCTCATCCTGGCTTCTTCTTCTTCTGACTCTTTCCGCAGCTTTTCCTCCAAGGCTCTGTGTAAAAACAGAAATAAATATTATATAAACTATGATATATATACATATACATATACATACACACACACACACACAAATATATATAAACTCTAAATGACAGTAATTCAGCTAGTGAAATACCTGATGCTATTGTTATGGAGCGCTTGCAGAGTATGTTTCTTCTCTTCTTCCTCTTTGCTAAACATTTCTCTCAGATCCTCTAGCTTCTGTCTATGTTCTTCTTCTAATGTACTTTTCTCCTGCTTAGCAATAATTCTTGAATTGTTATCTGAAGCTTTAGGAAGCTCAGCCAAGAGTTTTGGTGGTCCGGTATGATTAGAGGTTTCAGACACCTTCCTAGAATTCTTCTCTGCATTTTGTGAAGATTCACTGTCATTTCTGAATATTTCTGCTGACAAGGTAAATGGTTCCTCTACAGACTTTGGTTCTATAGTAGCACTTGCATTCTTTGTGTCTGGATGAATTTGCCTGTGTGAGAAAAAGATTTAGGAAAAAAGAAAAAAATATTTGACAGACATCTGTAACTATGCAAGCCGCAAACCCAGCACACCTCTGAGTCTTATCCAGTGGTCCTTTAATGGGCTCCATATAGTCATCATCACTGATTTCCTCTTCCACATCTTCATCTACCTCTTCTTCTATTGCTTCCTGCAGGAAAGGTAACCCTTATTTACTTTAATTTGTGGTCATTCTTACCTTTAAAAGAGGGAATCCAGCTTATACCACATTCTTTTAAGTAGAAATAAAAGTAACAAAGTTGCATTAGATTTATTTTAACAAGTAAATAAAACGATAAAGACGTATGAAATAAATACAGTTTAGAGAACCATTTGTTATGGGTTTTTTATAACGGAGGCAATCAGATTTTTGGTGGGTAAGTGCTCTATAGAGTATGTGCCTAGCCTAATAAGTTACCCCTCAAGTGTGCCCTCATATGGGGCTTTAAAATCATTTCCCTTTGGACAGTTAGTAACAGCCTCAGTCTGTTACTACCTTCCTGTTTTGTGTCTCAGCCTCAGGCACAAAACCTAGTTCTTTCACAAAGACTTGCTGGGACTAATTAGCTACAGAGATCTTACTATAATAAGAAGATCCATCACTGATTTAAATAGAACCAGTGCAAAAAGTAAAAAAGCACTCTTCGGCAGGATGCATGTCCCTGCAGCCTTCAACAAGATCTGTGGTGAGTCACTCACCTTGTGTGTTATCCAGATCTCCTTGAAGATAATGAACTACATAGATCAAATATTTAAATTCTGACATAAACTCAATCAAGATTGCTTGTCTTTGAAGGACCACTCTACAAATTTCTTCATCTCTTTCCCTTCCCCCAAAGCAAACACATGAGTTACTCCCTTGCAAATGGATTCCAAATTTTTTTATTTTACATTATGATAAGCCAACAGGGGAGTATGATGACATGATTTGGCTTTATAATAGCTGCAGCAATAATGGCTTTAGGAACATTTTATTGTGAGGTTATGTTTGGTATTATATGTATATATTATAAGTCTGTGTTTTTATTCATCTTAACTCTTTGCTTTACATAAACATGTATTGCAAGGTGTACAAAAGGAGTTGCAAAGTTTTGTGGGTTTTCTAAACAGAGAGCATGACACAAGCTGTTAGCCGTCAAGTTCTCTCACTGTGCTTAAAAATTTGCATGGAAACCTCTAAACAGGCAGCCGGGGAGGAATAGGAAGGGGGTGAGTCACTTGGTTGTGTGTAGAGCTGAGCTTCAACAATTGAGTGCTGTAAACCAGCATTTGTTTAGCCTAGAAACACATGAAAAGGACTCCAGAGCTCCATCTGCTGGATGGAAATGAGAATACAAAATATTCATATGTAAATATTTTATATTTACTAGTCATTATAGAAAATGTATACAAAACCAATATACATTAACTTTAAGATATTTTAATTGGCCTTAGAATAGCAGTTACAACCCGTAACTGTAGTATAATTTACTTTTAATACTTTAGATTTTAAAGGGTTTTTCCATAAGACATACAGTACACTGCTTACTTAATACCCCAATGTATGTTTTCATAAACTCAGCAATAAAAAAGTAATTATAAAATTTCCATTTTACCTAAATCATCACAGAGATTTTGCATCTGTTTTTGTTTTTTTAATTTACATATTAATAGATTAATAGTTTCTTGACTATACTACGAATATTTTTAAGGTGCCATTATATCAAGATCGCTATATGACCTATTCACTAATTATTTATGTTAATCCACTGAATATTATTTTTAAGGTTAGGTTTAGTAGTTCCAATAATTTAATGGTCTAAAACATTTTTTTCTAACTAAGTAAAACACAACAAACTTATTTTCAATTACCTCCTGCTCTATTTCTCTTATGCACCGTCTGCATATCCCCTAAAGAATGTGTATATATTATACAAACGATACCTTCATGTTTGGAAATAATTAATAATGCATGCACCAATATGCTCTGCAGAAGATTAATTTTTGCTAAAATTTGTTGCTGTTAAATAAAGTAAACCTGAAGAAGCAGAAGTACTCCTTGGGGCTGCATGTATCACTGGTTGAGAACTACTGAACTAAAACAATTAAACAATACTGCTTTTTATCTAATTGGGAAGATTCCTGGTGGTATTAGGTAAGCCAATCAAAAGCTTTTCTGAGATAAAATACTGCTGGGCTAGTTGACTGAACTAATTCCTGTTCAACCAGATATAATTTGTTGCTTATTTTGATATTCAGTGTAACACTTCTGTCAGTATGTGGCTAATTTATGACTATTATGCCCACATGGACAGGTATCCATTCCTTCTCATGCATGAGATAACAAGCAGCTGAGTCCTAGGAATAAAAAAAAAAAAAACTTTGGCCAAGCAGCAGCAATGTACATATATTATGGGAAACCAAGGATTGCAAAGCATATAGTGCCTCTACAAACCATACACATGTATTGCATGTGTTATGAGATTATACATGTGTGATTTAAAGCTGAACTGTACTAATGATTAAATCATTACAGATGATATTTTCCTCTAACCAGTCACCATCGAAAATATTTCCTAAATCATAATATGTAATATCTAGGCAAAAGAGTGCCGCTTACTTTTGGGCTAGCAGGTCGAGGAGATAGAGATGTAATATCATGAACCTTTTCAAAGGATTGTACACCAAACGGAAAATCCTGGGGAAAAAGGAGTTTAAAAAAAAGGGTTAAAAAAAAAGGTTAGAATACATTCAAAGACTAATTTATTCCATTTAGACATAGGCATGCCAAATGAAGATGACACTTTCTATTCTTTTCCTTCAAAATACTTTTTCCTAAAAAAACTTATGGAACCTGCTTCTACTATATTATTACATTCCCCTTCTGTACATAAACATTTACAGATTGTTCATCACAATACTTCTCATGATTTTTATATTTGAATAAAGTGACACTAAACTCAGGAGTTAAAAGGAGAACTACGAGGTGAGTGAAAATCACTCATCCTCATAGTTCGAGCCGACGTGTGACAGTTTAATTGTCAATAGGTCAGGAAGTGAGCGAACACATACTGTTGCTTGCTCACTTCTCGATCATCTCCCTGCAGAGAGCAGTGACCGTCAGTCACGGCTCCCTGCAGGGATTCTCCCCTCCAGCGCTGACTGGCGGAATGGACGGGGGACGGGGCGGGCACAGCAGACTTTGCTTCTAGATAGGCAGAGCCCGCTGTCACTCACGCAGCTGGGTGGATCTCGACAGTAATGTCGGGATTCGTCCCGCCTGCGGTGGTCTCAGTATACCGTGAGCTGTAGCTCGCGATATACTGAGCTTTGGGTCATGGGAGGACGCTAGTATATGTCCTCCCGTGACCCTTAAGAGAAGAGCAGAAAAACACTTACCCCATAGTTCTCTTTTAAATCTTGAAAATGCATTAAAGTATGCCAACTACAGTATTAACAGAAATTTATCTTATATCACTCGGCTGTAGATCCTCAAATCATCTCTGAATTGGTGCTGACACTGTCCTTCCTTCTGGAGGGTGGCTACTTTTGTTCCCCATGGTCCATGTGTATGTTGTAAAGAAGCAACTGCTCCAAGCTCGCTCCCATGATGGACTACAATCTCACGTTTAGTTTAGGGTTAGGTTAGGGTTTTAGTTTTAGGAGAAGGCTAAACGTTATAGGTTCATTTGAAAGATTGGGTTAAGTGCTAAGATATTCTGGCAGTGGGGGGCATTTTGGGTGCTTTTGTGTTAGGAACCTTATATATGGTAGGGACACTTAGGCGGAGCTTTAGGATTTTGATATAGATAAAGGGTAATTCCAAAAAAGGGTATCGGATAGGAGAGGGTAATTCCTTTTTCCCAAATTCACCTGGGAAAGCAGAGTTACCCTTTAAAAAGGAGTATGTAAACTCCAAATCCATTTTCAGTGTGTTTGGCATCATGCCACATTGTATACAGTATTCTTAAGCAAATATTTTTGTGAAACTGCTGCAAAGTTTCTTAACTGGAGATACTAGCAGTAACAGCACTTCCTATTGCAGACTGGCAATGCTAAGCCACTGCCTCATGAGTGGCAGACGCATAAGGTGGCAGCCTGCCTTTAGTCACCCAATGGCCAAGAACAATGTTGCTGCTAACAGGGAACACAAAAGAAAATGCAGAGCTGGATTTACTAGAACTTTCTGCCATCCTGCCGTGATGGAGGACGTAGGTTTGTCCCACAATGGGTAGGAATATGGGGGTGAGCACTGTTGCTGTTGGCGCCACCTGTTGGGTCGGAGTAGCCAGGAAGGGAAGGGCCCCGCGGTTTGGCGGGAAACCTCCAATATGAATGCACTGTATTGTTAGGGCACATGTGCAGACCACAGGCCCACCCTGGCCACACACATCACATGCTGGGAGTTTATAGTCAGTGTGCTAGGGTGTGGCGTGGATGTTCGTGGGATAGAGGAGACACAGATGACTCGAGCTGGAGGAGCTTTGAAAGATCCCAACAATTTGCTTAATATTTTCAAAGGTATATATCTACTGGTCTTGTTTTTTTTTAATCTGTTTTTTGATCCGTTTCAGTGGTGTATTTTTCTAAGTAGCTTGATGATCAGATGCTAGATTGAATACTAAGTGTGACAGCTTGAATAGAGAGGAGTAGAAGCTATCCCCATGAACATTAGCAACAAGATTTAGAGCAATATATAACCTAGGTGACACATGTTACAATTGGTATCTATTGAAGTCTTGATGAATTGTTTATTATATGTATATATTTATTTATTGATTTGATAATGTATTTATATATAAAAACTTGATATTTAATCACTGAAGCTTCGATCATGTTTTGTCATAGTATTGCTTTGATTATGTAGATTTATGGAATAATGTCTCTCCAATGTGGGTGTATAGTGTAGTAGTCATTTGGGCATTTCCTGACTGATGTGGGATGTAGAGTTACATGATTTAGTTGCGTTATTGATATAGGTATTCATGGAAGGTTACCAGGTTTCTCCTGCCTCGTCATCTTCATATGCTCCCTTTTCCCTATGTTTCCTGGGTGATGAGGGACATCCTCCTGATTTGTGGTTTTCTCATCGTAAGATTCCCAGAGAATGGTAGTTAATCATTTATTTTTATCTATAATGTTTTGTTATGGGTGTTTAATATTAATAATTTATATGTTTATCAGCTAAGATGTCAAGTTTATTATATGACATATTGTAGGCTGTCTCCTATCTTCCTAAGGAAGCTTTGGCAAAACACGTAGAAGACTGGACCCATCAAGACCAAAGGAAGCAAACTATGATGTGAGAATATATGCATTTAATTGCCATGAGAACACTGAAACCCAAGTAATCTACTAAGCTATGTATGAATGTACTGTATCGATGTAGTCCAGGGAGGTAATAAGCAATTATTACTCAATAGGGGGCAGTTATTTTATATCCTAGCTGTTCTAGGATTTTTTCAGGTGTTTTAGCATTTTATTCTAGTATTTTTCTAACACCTTAAAAGCCCCATCTTTGGATATTTTGTTGCTGGAACTGGATTTAATAGTTGACACAGTAGGCCTTGTGGCTATAGTGGCAGAAAGGCAGATTTTTTTTCCTGTATAGATAAAAGTTCTCCCATTTTCTTAATCATCAGTAGAAATAAAGTAATCTCTTACATGCCTGCACATTGTCAGAATATACACGCTACACATCAGAACAATATTCTAAGCCATATTAGAACCAGGTTAAACAAGGAAATGTTATGTGTGAAAGAGGTGATCCTAGCCAAGGAATGTTGCTTAGGGTGGTAAAGGTTGTGTGCCTATAAACTTCAGTGATGGCAACATGCAAAGCAAGCAAAAACCCACAGCTTGATTTGTAAAAGACAATGCATGGTAGCAACAAGCAGATTTTAAGAGAGCTAAACCGGCTCTTCCAGTTAACAGACAGATGAAAGAGCCACATAATACGCCACATAAAATCTAATTGATATACAAACAGGCAACTCTTTTGCGCAGTTTCCTGCTTACCGTGGTTCCATGGTTAGACTTAGGAACATCTTTTATACCTTCGCTAGCGTCAGACTCCTGCAATAAAAGAAATAAAATGTGTAGTACATGATAGAAGAAAAGTGCAGGAATACGTTTTCTCTATAATAGCCCACTAGCCTCCATCAAATATTTTTGTATAAAAAATATTTTTATTTCTCCCTAATTTCTAAAATACTATAATCCTGTATCATACATTAGAGTTGTCTCTTGATGGCCATTTTCTCATTAAGATAAAAACCTGTGTGGTGCAGCTTAACACAGAACAAATTATATATACTATATGCATATATATGCATATATATATATATATATATATACATATACACACACACACAAACACATACTACACTTCAATATATACTATATACACTACAAAACATTGTTAAAAGCAGAACTCAGGACACAAACTCCTTATTAAAATAGATTCCTGAATAGCCAGAAAGGATCCTGTAAATCCTGCTTGTGTGCACCAATGCCTTAATAAGCCAGCACATTACCTTGGGAGAGTAGCACTGATATTATCACTGTGCTGGACATGGCCAGGAAGCAGAGCTATGGGTGGGACCCAGCACTCAAGAAGATTGGATAATATTTAGGGGTTGCACACATTGATCACTTTTATCACAAACTAGTGACATTTCTAACATTGAAGTGCTTTACACTAATGGTCTGGATTCTGGATGAAGAAAGTCCCGTTCAAGGCATTCTAGAAGAACAACGAGTGAAAATGGTTAACTACATCCAAAATGTCCTAAAAGACAGAAGTCATCCAAGAGAAGACTACAAAGAGTTATTACAACTCTCACTCCTGTACCTAGGAGGTTGGTCTAAAAACGACTTCAGTTTCAGAATCCCATGGGCACTGCATCAAGCAAGGTGGATGGCAAAGGCAATATATGCACTTAAAATTGTCCTCTTCACTAAACTGTTGAATATTCCTCAACGACAATTGGAAGGAATGAAACGGGTTGCACATTTTGTCAGCCTCATATATGTTCGCTTTTGGCATGAGGCAATTGTAAGTCGATGGGCTCCAAAGAATGATTTGGATATGCTACAGCTTCTCCGCACTTACCCAGATGCAGACGTCAAAAAATGTGATCTCACAGTTGCTAAGAGACACCTTTGGTATCTGTCAGAAACAAACGTAGGATTGGCTTTTTTGGATGAACGTATTACTCAGGTTGTTAAGGAAAATAGGACTAAAAATTTAGAAACCAAAAATGCAAAGAAAAAAGGAAGTGAAACGATTAGAGGGTAAAAACATGGTTTTTGAAGGAAAAGACCTGAGCCATTTTGTTACTAATAAAACAAAGACGTTCTTTGAATTGTTTGTGATCCACGACGTGACAGAATACTGCAGTGATTCTCTAAGAAGCCATGTGAACGCTCTTAAGGTTGTCAATGATACCGCAGAAAGAGGAATTGCTCTGATAAAAAAGTATAATGAATCGGTCAGGGATGAACAACAAAAACAATTCTTGTTGAGGGTAGTCGAGCATCACAGAAAAGTCGTCACCAAGCGAACAAAACAAGGGATTGCATCGTTCAAAGTTGATTAATATAACACATGTTTT